GATGGCAGGCCTATTTTAGGGTATGCCTATTTGGGCCCAACATTGACAGACCTATTTTAGGGCATGCCTGTTCAGGCTCTATATGGACGTAGGGCACGCCCCGACAAAATTCTACCCGAGATATCTTTTATTCATTTCAATTTAGCATACATTATTTAATATATCATATTTTCCATTGCATTCGTTTACACTTGTATTACACTTTTACATTTCCTCATCTTCACCACTTTCATTGTGATGATTTTACATTGATTTGTTATACGATGGCTCGATGCTCCTTCGTTACTACAAAATCGTAACACGTGCTAACTGTTCTTTTCGCATGCAAAATGACAACTAAGGTTTCTGTTTTTAATCGATTCCTTCGGTCCGTTAATATTAACTTCACATCCGAAAAGATTCTTTCCACACTTGCACTTGAGTGAGGCAATGTCAACAACTTCCTCGCAAAATCGCTCAATTTTGCACAAAGCAAAGAACTGTCTCCTTTCTTTAAAGTACTAATTTTTTCCCAACTCTCACTTACAGATGAACATTTCACATCGAATTCATCTTGCTTTGCATAAACTCGTAATTGTCTCCATTCATTATCAATTACATTATGTTCACTTTCTTCTACTAATAATGGGAAATGTGGATAGACGTGAGCAATTATGGGAAGAGTTCTTTCTTGGATTACATGCGGATTCAGAAAATTTAAAACGGCAATGTATTTTAGTTGTTGTAACGGAAACCGCCGATACTCTTGATTTGTACTTTCTTTTTGAATTGTACTTTTTGAATTGTACTAAAAAACTCGAACAATCCAAAGGATTTTACCTTTTCTTTATCTAATGAACCTTTCGACAGTTTTGCCAATACTTTGCCTCCTAAATAAGTGTCTTCGACAGGTAGGTATAGTTCATCGGATTCCTAAACTGAACTTTTTCAATGGGAGTTTTCTCTAAATATTCTGATTTCAGATAACATTCCAGTATGGTTTTGAACAGCGTTTCTATGTGAGAATATAGAATATGAATTTGGGGGTTTTCGCTTTGCATTCCTCGATTTAGATCTTCAAATAGGGGCAAAATATATTCTCGAAAATTTAAATACAAATAAGTTATCGGAT